ACACTCGTTAACGTCAACTTCACGTCATTCATGCGGGTGAACTACGACTCGACCACGTGGGTCAACATATTCAGGTGGGCCTTTGATCATATTCGTGTCAACATCACCTCCGCAGTAGAGCTTCATAGCTGGACGTTGGTGTGTCAGTATGTCGGTATGCCGGTGTGTGTTTGACCGGAAATTCGTGAATCCTGTCCACCCAAACCGAAAGGATTCACATTTTCAAAGTACAAGCGGTCGAATAGGAACCTTGATGGTAGATGATAGGAAGTGGTAACAAGGAATATGGGCTGAAAAAAAGCCGGGATTGCAAGAGCTACTGGGTCAGTAACGCCTTCCGCGTCAACGCTGGACCCTATCACTTTGGTGGATGTTGCAGATTGCGTCAGGATCATAGATGGTTGGTAACAAAGGCTGATAACAAGTGATGAGAGCTGGTAAGTTTCTACAGGAGGTAAGAGCCACTGAGGTTAAACATTAGAACCTTGGCATTCTGGAGGCCAATGTGTGTGGCGGGATTGAATGTGGTTGATGATAATAGTTTATAGCGGCTGATAATGGGGATAAAACGTATAAGTCACAAAATTCCTCTCTTTCCCTACTAGCAGTGAAGCCAGGCCACTTAACATGTAGTATAGGGTGTAGTGGACCGCTGATAGTATGGCAGTGAACGGTAACAGCTGATAAAAGCTGATAGCAACTTTCCAATGCAAGGTCTCACCTCCCCCCCCCCCCCCCCCCTTTCCCTTTCCAATACAGGCTCAAGAATTCGATATGTTCCACAGACAAGACGGAATGGCAATGAAGACGACAAAAGGTGACAAATGCAGTGATAAGGACTGATTGAAGTCTCCATCATATGAGAAGAACCGATATCGTTCAATTCCCAGCCAACAAGTTATGATCACCTCGCGCTGAGCCTTGCGACTCAGTGAGGGACCACAGTTTTCCAACAGTATTTCTATCAACTATAAGATAAAATCTATTCGACCGCCCATGATCTAGGAATCCTCTAGGTCTATGACCATTGACAATAACGCTACCATAATTCGACAACACAAATAAGTACCCTTGAAGACTACGGTTGACTAATTAGTGGGAAAGCTCTACTACAGAAAAGTACCTGTAGACCCAGTAAAGAAAAGAATTAAGCTCTTAGTGGATGACTATTGTGAAGATTAAAAGCAACAGTTAAAGATGTTGGAATTATGAGCTTCAGCATCATTGCACTTTGACTACCAGTTGTATTGTTCCGTATATGCCAAGCTCGTCTCCTTGAAAGTTCTGTGCGAAGTTTGTAGTTCCCGTGCTGTGTCGGGCATCCGCGAGGAAGATTTTTTGATCGGTTTACCCGAACAATCCTATTTTGCACAGGAAGAAAGGAGAGGAGCGCGGCGTAAACCGTACGATACGACTGGTGACTACAGAAACGAATACATTCAAACATTAGTATTAAAATAACCCACCATACTATTTTCTTCTCAGCCATATGGACGAGCATCCTGAACATTTCTCAGCTGTTGGTCGAGCTCAGCTAGTAACCGACTTCTGCTACTTCTATGCTCATGATGAAGTGGACGGTGGCACGGCAGTCAAGGAACTCGTGCTGGATACTGTAAGTACTCATTTTTCACAACTAAAAAATTTCTCTAAATTGAAAAAAATCAAATAGGCTAATCCTTGATTAACAGCAGCTTTTCGAAAGTAATATCCGGCAGCACTCATTTCTATGTCTTCTGAGAATCATTGCTAAGGATAAGGTTAAGTATGGTTTTCAAGAAAAGCCCAGTCACTGGATATGTACAGAAATTGTCGCACAAGTCTCATTTAGCCCTTCAAGAACCATCTGTAACATTACTATTATTATTTTAGGTCTACCGTAATCCAGAATACTTCGAGCTATGCGACTGGCATCTCTTCTGGTGTCACTCCACTGCGCCAGCTACCTTACCGCAACTGCTACGACGTGTAGCCCTCGGAGTAACGCGATTGTTCAATTCAGACGATGCCTTCGGCTGCCGTACCGGTATGGCAGCAAGGAATCTGAACGCTATTTGCAATAGTGTCTTCAGCACGAGATGTGTTTGAGGATTTAAGCCCCTGCCCAGCACAGGGTCCACCTATTTCGGGTGGAAAAAGTCATTTGTGAAAATGGACTATGTGACCACCTTGATCTACTTAGTTCATTTCTCACTTTATCCTAGTTGAAAAGTAACTGGATTTCACAGGACTACAATAATACGTCCGTACTGAGATCACTATTCCCAAAATTACTGATTTTGCCCATAACTGTTTTCATTGCGGACCTTCTCAAACTTTGGTTTGGCAATTCGACTCTCCGCTTTTTTCTGTGCTTTAATACTCATTCCGTTGGATCTAAAGTATTTATCGATATTGAGCGTGGTATAGCAACTCAAACCCATTAACTCCCTTCCTGATGAGCTCTCTGACAGGGCTACTGAACGTTGTCCAAGTCCAAATGCACATTATTCGAAATAGCAGAAAAATATTGGATTCATGCAAACCGACAAATTCGGCTGCAGTTTTTACTATCCCAATTTGTTTTTGTAATATTCGTTATTTACAATTTGTTGCAGACCTACGCTCGTAAATGAGTTGTTCCCTAAATTATTTCATTCCCCAATGTGTACCAGTTTCCGATTAATAATTGTTACCGGTGTTGAATGATTAATGTAATTCTCGATACGAGTTTACCCGTGGAGCTTTTTTTCCCAAATAAACGGTTTTTGATTCATCGGCTTACATGGAGTAGAGCGAAACCATTCTTCTACCCTGCAGACCTCTTGAGATGACACCAATTCGCACCATTTTCTTGATTTTTTCTCAAGAAGAGTCATCTAGGAACAACAAAAACACTGACTTGTACACTTTGCCCCTACACTTGCCACTGTATGCCAGTGTATGGGCCAAGCACACGCCATGCACCCTAACGTATGCATCATTCGTATGCCCATGGCGCCTTCAATGAAATTAGATGGCGGAGTGTTTGATGAAACGGAATAAAGTGATACCCTATGAATCTGAGGCGCATATCAATGTGGTTCTAACCCTACCTCTTCTACTTTCTGAAAGTTTGACAGCCCTGTGATTGAAAAGAACCAAATAAGCTTCATCGTACGACCAAAAGGGCAAAGTTGTTATTAAAACCTCTGAGTTGTCAATGGCGTCATAAATTGGTCCCCTGATTAAAGAATGAATACAAATAGTACCAGTGGATTTCGAGGGTTCTCTAACTGCTTTGACTCTCCAATGAAACAAGAGGGAAACCAAGAATACGGTGAAAATCAACAAAAAAACTTAATTTCCTGCTGCAGAGAATTTTCTTGAATTTCACCAATCAACGAGAAGGCATGGTTTTAAAAACGAAACTCGAATGACATACCAGATTAGCGATTCTCCGATTATGGCATGATACCGTCGGTAGGGCCGAACTCTCCGAGTGGGCGGAGCTTTTGCGTGCACACCGGACAAAGGGTTTGGCACGTGCAGCAATAGTGCGGGAGCCTAGGACTTTCACCATTGCTCAAGGCACTCAAAGATTGACAAGCGCGACAATCAGCAGAAAAGGGGCGGAGCTGCCCACAAGGGGCGTTTCTACCTTGTAAATTGCTGTTTGGCACACATTTGATCTTCTTAAAAGGTTCCATTTCAGCCAAATAATCGAGTGTTGTACGAATGACAACTCCATTCCACAATTATGCATATGAATTACAAGTTTTATTTATTAATCAAAACACAACCTAATCGTAAGTACCAAAGCATTAGCAATGAATATCACTTCATTGAAAAATTAATCGTTAATAATTTCGGGTAACTAGTCAGTAATACTGAACAATTTCCGAATGTATTAGATGTATTTGGACTTTAGTTTTTGGATAATGAAGCAACAAATGGAATGGCAAATGGCTTTCTCGACTAGGTGGGACAGTTTTCCATTTCTCCGACTTTGACTCGGCGCTTGTTTTGAGCGACCTTCAGAAGGTCTTTTGCTTTTCTAGCCATTCTTATCTGTTCAGCTTTAGCGATGACCAATTCATAATTTTCACGAAATGATGCCATTAGAGGATTCTCATTGCTGACCACGCCTTCCTGAAAATATCGTTGAGCTGTTCATATTACCATACATTTCTATGAGAAATGAATCTCAAGCTTCTCTGCTCCGGCCTTTCCTCAGTAAGAAAATTGATAAATTGGCTGAATAAAACTGTTTGGCGACCTCCTCGAGCGACCCTCCAGTAGGACAACAGCTCGTAAACTTCCCCCAACACGGTAGGTGTGAGAGGAGAACTCCTCGACGACATTGTATTCGTACTTATACCGCTGGACAACGGTCCGAAAAGGGAAGACTCAGCATTGAAGGGCTGCAGGAAATGGTCGCCAGAAAGGATCACATTCAAGCAAGAAGCTTCTGGTGAGGGGAGGGATGTACAGCGGAAGTTTGGGAGTAGGAACGATAATTCATATCGATCAGAGACAACCATCGCAATAGTGATTGCCCTATACGCCAAGATCAACTGAAAGTCGAAATGGCCTCATCTGAATAGACTCCGGAATAATTTAGCTGAGCATGTAGGTGCAGTACCTGACAGAATACTTCAAGGACAATATAGTGCATGAAGAGGAATTGTACAGCCTTTTGAACAGCCCCTGCTCGTGCACGTCGCATTATTCTGACTATGTCAGTAGCCGTATGAAACTGGCGTGCCGATATTCTCTCTAACATCAGTTCTGCACCTGAAAGAAGATTACTTAACACTCATAATTATGACTATTTTTATCATTTGCAACTTGATCTACTCACAAAGTTATAAACGCCTACGTCAATTGAAAAAAAAGTTAGTGCAAAATTATGCCCACCGACAATGGTACATGTACGACCAACACCAGCTGAGCAATGGATAATTAATGGATATTGACGTGGATTGTTGAAAATTTCTCGGTGAATTTCAAGAGCACCAGCAGTTTTGAGTGGTGCAGAGTGATCTGGCCATTCTGTATACTGTATATGTCGGACATGAAGTTCCTGGTCCCTGCAATTACTTTTGGATTCGGGAATGTTAGACAGTAGCTCGACGTTTTGCTCAGCACTTAAAGATAGCGTTG